GACTTTGTATCCAGCTATGCTACTGAATTTGGTTATTAAATCTAGAAGTTTTTTGGTGGAGTTTTTGGGGTCTTCTATGTAGAGTATCATGTCATCTGCAAATAATGATGATTTAAATTCTTCCTTTTTTATCCTTCTCTTATTTCTTTGTCTTGTCTAATTGTTCTAGCTAATGTTTCCAGAACTATATTGGATAAAATTGGTGACAGTGGACATTCTTGTCTTTTTCCTGATTTTAGAGTGAAAGCTTTCAGTATTTGTCCATTTAGTATGATGTTGGCTGTTGGCTTGTTGTAGATGGCTTTTATCAGATTGAGATAAAGACCATCCATTCCAGTTTTTTTTTTAAATCATGAATGGGTGTTGGACTTTGTCAAATGCTTTCCCTGAACCTATGGAGGTGATCATGTTGTTTTTTTTTTTTTGTATTTGATTCTGTTGATATGGTGTATTAAATTTATTGATTTGCATATGTTGTACTATCCCTGTATCCATGGGATGAGTTCTACTTGATCACAGCGTATAATCCTCTTGATTTGCTGCATTATGTTTTCCAGTATCATATTAAAGATTTTTTGCATTTACATTCAATAGGGAGATTGGCCTGTAGTTCTTTTTTGTGGTAGGGTTTTTCTCTGGTTTTGGTATCAGGGTAATACTTGCTTCCAGGAATGAATTTGGGAATATTGCTTCTCTTTTAACTTCATTAAAGGGTTTGAGAACTGGCATTAGATCTTCTCTAAATTTCTTGTTGAATTCAGCAGTGAAATCATCAGTACCTGGACTTTTCTTTATTGGTAAGTTTTAAAATACATTTTCAATTTCAGTGACTGATATTGGGATATTTAGAATTTTAATATTTTCTTGTTTCAGCTTTGGTAATTCTTATGTGCCTAGGAATTTGTCCATTTCTTCTGTATTTTCCATCTTATTAGAATATAAGTTCTCAAAGTACGTATTGATGATATTCTAGATTTCCACAGGATTTGTTGTGATTTCACCCTTTTCATTCCTAATTGCATGAATTTGTGTCTTTTCTTTCCTTTTTTTGATAAAGTTGACTAAGGGTTTATCAGTTTTACTTAATATTTCAAAGAACCAACTCTCTGGTTCATTGACTCTTTATACTGCTTTCTAGTCTCAATTGTGTTAATTTCTGCTCTGATACTTATAATTTCCCCTCACACAGGCTTTGGGCATGACTTGTTCTTTTTCTAAAAGCTTGAGGTTCAACATTAGGTTATTTATTTGAGCTCATTCTGTTTTCCTGATGTGAGAATTCACTGCTATAAGTTTCCCTCTTAGAACTGCTTTTATTGCATCCATAAGTTGAAGTATATTGTACTGGTATTATCATTTAATTGTAAATACTATTTAATTTCTCCTTTAATTTCATCTATAACCCATTAGTTATTCAGGATGGTGTTATTTAATTTCCATGTGTTTATGGGGTTTTTGTGATTTCTTTTGCCATTGATTTCCAATTTCATTGCACTATGGTCTGATATTATACATGGGATAATTTCAATTCCTTTGCATTTACCTAAGCATGTCCTGTGGGCTAGTATATGATCTATTTTGGAGAATGTCCCATGTGCAACTGAGAAGACTGTGTATTTTGAAGTTTTGGGGTCAACACTCTGTAGACATCTATAACTTCATTTGTTCACAAATTTGGTTCAGTTCTGATATTTCTTTGTTGATTTTTTTTGTCTAGTCGATCTGTCTCTGTGACAGTGGGGTATTAAATTCCCCCATTGTAATTGTTAGTACTTTTTAGATTTTTCATATCTGTTAATGTTTGTTTTATATAATTAGGTGCACTAATATTTGGTGCATATATATTTATGATTGTTACCTCTTCTTGAAGTTTCCCTTAACAAGTATGTAGTGACCTGCTTCTTGGCAGTGTTTCTTTCGATCTTCTGCTCAGCTGTTTGCAGACTACTGTGAGGTAGCTCTTCTGTCCTTCCACTCTGGGGCTTTGGCAGTGAAGCTGCGTGGGGATATTGGGAGTTCAAGCCCTGAGCTTTTTGAAGTAAGATGGTGACCCCTGCCTGCTCTGCTCCATGTGACTCTGTTCCCCTTCACTCACCAGTTGTTGACTCTGGAGGGCCCACCTGGGAAGCAGTGTCTCCTGTTCTCACTGCCATCTCTGATTACATAAAATTTTTCCCATCCAAGTCTGGTCTCCATTTCACAGTGTACAGCAAAACTGTTTTCACTGCCTACCCCTGTGGTGCAGCTACAGTGCACTGCATGGTCTCAGTTCTGAGTCAGGGAGCCATTTCTTCTGTAGCACTGGGTCCTATTTTCTTCTCTGCAGTCAGTTCCTTCATGGGTCTGTGTGCCTTTCACTCACTCTGTTTCCTCTCTGGGCTGTTGTTTTCCAGACTCCAGGCACTTTGTTCAGGAGGAGCTGTGTTGTTGGTATTCATGGCTCCTCCATCTTGCCTCTGACCACTCTATGTATTTAATTAAATAAATAATTTATTTAGGGATAAAGACAGATTGTGAAAGAAAACCAGAGATTCTGAAGTTTTGTTTACTAAATTTTTTTTTCTATAAACAATCTTGTTCTGGTAATGGAGAGGAGAACCGTTTACTCTCAAGTATGTGGGGACTAAATTAAGATATAAGTACCATTTGCAGTTATTATTCAGCTCTTTTATTCTTCATAATTTTAAAATGTAACTTGTTCATGGTACAGCATATTTTCTGCCTATATGTCCTTCAGGAAAAAGTTAATCAAATTTATGGGTCTCTAAAAGATCAGAAGTTATTAAAAATTGAGAGGCTGAATAAGAGTTTAGTAGTTTTCCCTAATTAAAGAATGACTTCTTTCTCAAGGCTAAATTGAAGTTTGATTTTTTTTCATACAACAGGGGCAAAAACTTAAGAGACACCAAAAGATAAGAACCAGTGCAAGGATCTCACAAATACTTTTGCTTTCCAAATAACACAGCCAAAATAACATTGAGTAGCACTGGAATTGGTACCCTGCATTTGTACCACCTTTGACTTATTTTGTTTAAAGATTAAAAACAGAAAACAAAGTGAAGTGGAGAAAGAAAAACTGCCACCTGAAAGTGTAAAAACAAATTCTTAGGAAACTTTCAAAACTTTATAGTCAGTACCATATCTTCTTCAAATCAAAATTCGAGAAGTGAAAAACAGTTTGAACACAGATGTTCTTATCTGGGATAGTCTCCCGATGGAGTAATGCTTAACATTCTTTGTCACTCTAAAAAAGTCTTTAGAGGAAGGCTAACTAGGAGGTGCTAGAGTCTCTGGGAAAAGTCAGTTTTCCTGGGATGCTAAACAGGACTGTTATGTAAATGAACTTCAAGAATTTTATGAACTCCTTTGTAGGAGTTACACACTCACATGAAAGTGAGAATGTGAATCGTCAAAGCTAAAGAGTCTAAAGCTTTCATCTGGTTGGTAGGAGTATATGACCCAAAACTCGATTTGCATTATTTATATGCATTTAATTTACTTTGTTTTAAGAAGCTAATCACCTCAGTGGAAGTCTTCCTTCTATGGTTTCAGAAACCCTGTTAAAAGTAAGTCAATATTTATCTCCAGGAATTAGTGGAAAAATGGATCAATAGAAAACTATTTTCAAGGTTGTGTGATTCTTTTAGGGAAAACAAGAATTGCTGAGGTGCCAAGAGAGAAATTCACATTGGATCCCTGAAGTTGCTAGTGACTCGCTGTTCAGTGCACACTCTAGATAAAGGAAACCCAAAAAACTGTTAGTGCTTTGAACTTCTTTCTCATTTAATAAGCATGCAAGCTGTATAAAATTACATACAATGCAAAAGTATTTGGGAGGCGTATGGTGATATTGAGATATTTACCATGTCCCACAAATCAAAATTTCTCACTATGCTCAAAAGTTTTACCATAATAATTTTCAGAATTTTCTTTTCCATAATCGTTCACTGAACAGCCCTTTGAACATTTTCTTTTTCTTTTTTTTTCAGCTTTAATTGAGTTTATTGGTACATTTTAGGGATACAGTACAGTTACATTCATTGTTGGGATCTTGTACCTCTACATGACAAGTCTTGATTCTCATTTTTTCCCCTTACCTCTGCCCTCCCTTTACCCCCTCCTCCCCTCCCCATCTACAAACACTTTATTTTAATCTTTTCATTCTCTCACATTTTTTTCTTTTCCCTTTTTACTCTTCCCCTACCCATCCCACCTTCCCTACACCTTTAGCTCCTTTCTTCCCATTTCTAAATGTCAGTAATCTTATTAGAATCTTATGCATTGTTGCAGATTATTCACACCAGGGAAACTATTCGGTATTTACACATGTGTGACTTATTTATTTCACTTAGGAGTATATCTTCAATATGTATCCACCTTTGAACATTTTCCAGAGAGAATTTCTTATAAACGTGTGCTTTACATGTAACAATGTCTTTCTATTTATCCTCTGCTGTTGCTTTTAACTTCCTTAACATTGTAATCATTGATCTCTCTGCTGTCTCCATATTTTTTGCCTTTTCCAGAATACCATGTGATTTTTCTCCTCTTGATTACTACAAAAACTGAAAGATGTTGACATGATTAGAGAATAAAGGTGAAATACAATTATTTTGATACCTAGACCAAGGCTGTTTCATGTAGTTTTGTAAAAGTTAACACCTTTGTGGCTGGTTAAAATGTAGTGGGAAGCCACCAAAGGACCCAAGAAAATTAAGAAATTGAAGCTATCCTCCTCCTTCAGAATATAGATTTTGGAGGCAAATGTGACAGGTGTCACTGATGGGTGCAAAAGCTAACAGGGAGAAATCAACATAACACAAAGGACTCGCACCTGTGTCAATACATCTGGAAGAGTTTATACCACTAGTGAGAGCTGGGTGAGCAGGTGTGGATTGAGGCCGTGGGGAATTTAAGAAGCATGAGTGACATTTGAAATTCTAAAGTTTGTTCATTTAAGATATTTGAGAGACAATACATTGGTTTTCCATTGCTGCTGTAACAGTCTCACACATTGGGCCTAAAAATAGCACATATGTATTCTTTTACCTTAATACTTACATATAAATATAAACTTTTAGACACTTTAAAATAGTTTTTAGATATATTATGTACTATATATACCTATGCTCAATTGAATTATAATAGTGAATGTTTGAGCTAATAGATACAGTTTCAGAATTGATCCTCCAAATGATCATGAGACATGGGGTGAGAAACAGTTAATTTTTTTGTTATTTTTATACTGAGAAAGAAAGTTTAATTTTGAAATGAAAGCTAAGATACACAGATTCTTTCCTCAACAGTAATTGTCAAAATAAATTTGTTTATATTTAAATATTGTGAAAGTATTACTTTTCTATGGTTTCCAGAAAATTTATTCAAAACACCTACCAGAACTAAATTATTAGTGCATTGGAATGTTCCATGTTCAGCAAAACATTTAATTGTGATTTATTCAGTGATTGATGTGCTATGTTGTCCTTCTTCCGAAAGCAAAGAGTAAGGTGAGGACTTGGGTGTAGATCATTCATTTCAGGAAACAATAGCGAGAGAGCAGGAAAGTGAGAGCATAAAAAAAGGAAAAAAAAGCTAATTTAAGGATCACTGAGGCTGCTCTCGGAGACAGTGGGGGACTGATTTCCAGGGAACATCATGAGAGGCATCTGGAGCGCTACGGAGAGCTCCGGAGCTCTCTGACCGCAGGCTGAGGCAGGAGTGGTCCTCCGGGGGCTCCACCTTTCACAGGTTAAACTTTGCTCTTGGGCTTATGAACCCTGCACCTCCCACCATGCCTCCTTACAAGCGAAGCTGGCCACTGGGGCGTGTGAGGGCAACCTCAGGCTGGTGGTGGTGTGTTTGAGGGGGATGTTGTTGGTGGGAGAACTCGAGTGTCTGGGCATCCTGGAGATTCTAAATCTTTGCTTTGGTTGAAGCAGTGGAAAGAGTCACTTAATACATAGCTCAGTTCCAAAGTGCTGTCTTCTTTTCCATCTCATTTCCTTTATCCCAGTCTAGAAGGTTTCAGAGGATATCTGATTGCACGGAGTGTTGTATTCGGCTACTGCAAATTCATCTGGAAGAGAGTAACTGTTACTAGAAACGGTCTCACAACACTGCTCAAGAAGAAAGTTTCTTTATTATCTGTTTAGAAATAAACTCCCCTACATCTGTGCTAATATAAGAATTTACTTCCTTGACAATTTCCACATATATTTCTATTCCTATCACACTGCACGCATATGTGTGTTACTGTTCTTACCTGTTTCAGGTACACAATGCATGTTAAAACCCGAGATTAGCGCTTACTTTTCTGAAGTAGAAAATCTTTATTATTTCAACACTTGGAGGGACAGTGAAAACTTAATCATTACTAAATATTTGAGTACCCAAAGTCTGTAAATCTTGATTTGTTGGTAAACACTCTCTGTTTGTGGCTGAACTATGTATCAATACAGTTATGTGACAACAGTAGCTTTTTTGTCTATTAAAAGTCTATGAATCATTTACTACATGTGATAATCTGACTTGAAATTAACTAATTTGTCATTTTCATATTTTGATTAAATTATTAGACCTATATTTTAATTTATTCATATGCATAATTTAAATCTAAGGAATGCAAAGGAAGACAGATAAGCTTCAATTTCAAGTCCAAAGTCCCGATTTAGAGTTTTTAGTCTGCCACTTGTTTTGTGTTATTAGTGAGAATGTACTTTTTCTGAGCAAAAGTGATAACAATAAAAATCTGGTTAAAGATGCAGAAACTCGAAGTTACATGACAAAGTAGCTATAATTATATATATATATATATATATATTTTTTTTTTTTTCTTATTTGAAATGCCACTGTATTTGGCAACATACGAATAAATAGGTGATGGCGATCGCTCAGTAGATTACAAGATACACATCTAGGTTTGTCTGTTGAAGGACAAGAGATCAGAACAAGTCAACTCAGCTGGCAGTCAGCCAGCCAAGACCTGTCTCTGTGCGATCCCTGGGCTGCCCCAGCTCACACAGCCAGTTAGTTATCTATCCACTGGCCACAGACACACAGCCGCCCTGAACCGGGAGGGCGACATAAATGACAAACCTAGTACATCCATCACCTGCAAGGAGTAATGAATACGTGCCAAATCAGAATATTTCCACAAACTCTCTGATAGCTTCTCCTCTATTTTGTATTGAAATCATTTATGTCCTCTCATTCACACCATTGGGCAAGCTGCATGTCAGAATTCAAAGCCATCAGCTCTGTTTTGCATGAACCTATAGTTTATTCAGAAAGAGAATCCTTCACACTTATTCTCTAGTAATTTAAATGAATATTTTAGTGAAAAGATAACAGGAAAAATACCAAAATTGTTCTCTCATAACTAGAATAAATCTCAAGGTCTGTTTGCTATTTGAACTCAAGAATTTCATATGAAATGATATGAAGTGTTACAAGACATGAAATGAGGAAAAGAGATTTCAAAAACAGTAACTACAGCATCAGTAGAGAAAATGAAAATCGCCTTGTTTCTAATTTAATCTAGGATATACTGGTATGAAAGAAGTGAAATGCTTACCAGTTGCATAGTAATCATAGAGCTGAATGGATGCAGGCTTGTTGCTGGGTACAAGTGTGTCTTGTTCAACAGAGAATGAGAACTTAATTTCCTTTCGAGGAACCTGGGAATAAATCAATATTATTAAGCACATTAAATGTATTCCATCAATTTCTCTCTATGAGCAGTGATCATTTGGCACTACTTCCTTACAGAAGAACAACAGCAAAACATAAATCAGAAGGGCCAGGGAGGTAGCTCAGTGGTTTTGCCACCTGCCTTGCAAGTGCGAGGACCCAAGTTCAATCCCTGGTACTAAAAAACCCAAAACTACATTGTGTCCCAAGCCCATACAACACACAAATCAAATTATGACAGTAAACTTACATTCTGTAGATAAAAAAAGATGTGGGTGGCTTTAATTTCTACTCGCTGTACTTTGCCATCTTCTTGAAGCTAAAAATCACAAGGAAAAATATACTGAAAATTTAGGGAACTAGTAATACAAACAGCTAATCACACATTAAAAATTCAATTTTAATTTGGTAGTTTTTTTTGCAACTTGACACATATTTTCAGTATTCCACAACAAATATTAATCTTTAAGAGTCATTTATTCAATAATTTTGAGAAACCTGAGTATTTGTTTCTAATTTTCAATAGAATAATAAAACATACATTATTGATTTATTTTTAATCAAACTAATATTTGTGTCTATTTATGGGGTAACTTGTGATTTTTATCTATCTGTACACTTTAAAAGAGTCGATCAAGGTAATTAACAACTCTTACCTCACCAACTTGCTATTTTGTGTGTGTGTTGAGGACGTTAAAAATCCATTCTTTTAGTAATTTTAAACCTACTCAATCGTTATGCAGTGCTTTATGTTACTAAAGCTTTTCCTCCAGTTTAGCTAAAATGTACTTTTTGGTCAATATTATTATTCCTTTTTCTTTTGTCCTCCTCCTATTTGTTAAACACTTAACTACTCTCCATTTCTGAGATTTTTAAGAAAAGATTGTACATAGAAGTGAAATAATGTGATATTTGTCTTTCTGTGCCTGGCTTATTTCACCATACTTAACATCCTCCTAAGTTGCATCCATACCATTATCAGATGTCCATCTTTTTATAAAGCATTATAGTATCCCAGTGTGCACAAGTACTGTTCCCTTTACCCATTCACCTCGGTCATTTACACAGGCACTTTGCCTCCATAGCGTGGCCAATGTGAAGAGTGCTCAACCAGACACAGAAGTGCAGTTCTTCTGGGTATTTGCCCTCATGGGGATTGCTGGGTTACTCGGAAGTGCTGTTCTTACTTTGTAAAGGAACTTCTATGCTGTTCCCCAAAGTGGCTGGATGTGGGGAACCAGGAGTGAGACCGGAGGTCTGTTTTGTAGCACACAGGCATCAACATTTCTTGGAGAGAACAAACCACAGCTGAAGTCCGATGAAAGCAAATGCACATTCAGGGCAGTCCAGAAATTACGAGAACTGATGAACCTTCCCTGAACCCTGGGTCACAGGCCTGCTTGCTTCTTCCCTGTGTGTGTCTAAGGAAAGTGAGGAGCTTTATCCGCTCAGGGCTCTTTTGTCAGTAGAGGCGGAGAGTCCCCTGGTCCTTCTTCTTCTCCCCATCCTTGCCAACATTTATTATCCCTCACCTTTTGGATAACAGCAGCTCTAATCGAAGTGATATTCCATTGTAGCTTTAATAGGCTTTTCTCCAGTGATTAGAGATCTTGAGCATTTTTTTCACAAATATGTTGACCATTTTCCTTTCCATTTTATTGACTGTTGCCTTTGCTGTGCAGAGAGGTTTTTAGTTTGATGCAATCTTATTAGTGTATTTTGGCTTTTGTTTCTTGTGCTTTTTGAGTTCAGTCTAAGGAATCGTTGCCCAGGTTTCCCATTTTGTTTTTTTCTACAGGTTTGGATATTTTTCTTTTTAAATTAAATTAAAATTAAAATTTAATATAATAATTATATTCCTCTTGGGAATTACACATATACACATAACATCTTGATCACTTTTACTTCCTCTCTTCCCCATCTCCCTTCCTCATCTTCAGAAAGTCTACCTCCCTGTTTCATCCCTCTTTTATTTTACTTTTCAATGTATAGTCTGGCTCCTCATATAAGAGAAACAACCCTTATCCTCCAATCCTATTGTGTCTGATTAATTTCACTTAGCATTATGATCTCAAGAGGCAGCCTTATTCCTACACATGACTCCAATTGTCCTTTGCTCTGCTGAAAACGAGGGTCCCATTGCATTCTATTGGATGTGAACATCTACTTTTCCCCTTGCTACTTTATTTCAGTACTAGAGATTACACCCAAGGTCTTCACACTGAGCTATATCTGATGTCCTTTTTATTTTTTATTTTGTGACAGAGTCTCACTAAATAGCCCAGGCTGGGGTTGAATTTGTAATCACCCACCTCAGCCGCCCAAAGGGCTAAGATTACAGGCATGGGCCACCATACCCAGCTTCCAACACTACTTAATAGGCAGCCTGTTCCTTACCATTGTGTGTTCTCCATATTCTTATAAAAAATCAATTGATTGTAAATACTTGGATGTATTTCTGTGCTTTCTGCTTCACTTGTTTAGTGTGTCTATTGTCATGCCAGTACCATGTCATTTTGATTACAATTGCTTTATAATGTGTTTTGAAACCAAAGAGTGTTTGTCTGGCTGCTTTTTGTTCAAGATTGCTTTAACTCTTCAGGGGTCTGGCTGCTTTTTGTTCAAGATTGCTTTAGCTCTTCAGGGTCTTTTAGGTTCCATATAAATAAAAAAATTTTTTTCTGTTTCTGTTAAGCATGTCATTGGAATTTTGATAGGGATTACATTGACCCTGTAGATTGTTTTGGGTATATTTTAGCAATATTATTTCTTTGAGTCCCTGAACACAGGATGTCTTTCCATTTATTTGTGTTTTCTTCAATCTCTTTCATAAATGCTTTATAGTTTTCCATGTATAGACTTTTCAACTCCTTGATTAAATATATTGAGTATTTTATTTATTTCTTATTTTTGGCACAGGGAATCGAACTTGGGACCTTGTGCTTGCAAGGCAGGTGGCAGCACCACTGATTGATTGGTTGATGGTATTGAAGTGGGATAGTTTTTTATTTTTAAACTTTTAAAAATTTCTTTCTTTAGATAATTTGTTAATATATAAATATATTACTGATTTTTAAATGTCATTTTGAACCTACAACTTTACTTAACTCTAATTTTTTTGGCACTCTAGGAATTTTTACATGTAAGATCACATCAGCATACAGAAAAAAAAGGTACTTCTTATTTTCCTGTATGGTTCTTTTTATTTCTTTTTCTTGTCTAACTGCTCTGACTTAAACTTCCAGTAATATGTTGATCGAAGTGGTAAAAATTGACATCTTTGTCTTGTCCTTGAGCTTAGAGGGAATGCTTTCAACTTCCCACCGCTGAGCATGATGATAGATATGGGGCATCTATGTGTTTTATGTTTTCATGATTTACTGATTTGATGGTATAAGAATACAAATAAATTTGAGAACCTTGAATAATATACTATGAGATACCGATGTGATTGAAATTTCATTCCATAAGACAAGAAAATGTATTCTTTTTATACAATGTAGAGCCATTGCACAAAGTAGAGAGCAACATATTATGGCCATTCTGAAGTTATTTTACTTAGCAGCAGTTATTCTTTACCTTCTTTACTGATGATCTGTCAGGAACATATCCAGAAAGCATCTTTACATCAATGATCACCATGTTGGAGGAGTTGCGTTTTCCAAGATAACTTTTTATGAAAAGTACAAAATTGAAAATTCAGACAAATGTTAATTATTATTGAAGAAAAAATTATCAATAAAGATGTATTTGTGTAGAAAAAGGTTATTGTTCTGTGCCCCTTGTAAGGTATATTGTTATGAGATCAAGATATTCTCATTACAATCTGGAATTAGTGCTGTACCACAATGAAGCAACACATATTTCAACCCATTCACAAATGGGTACAGAGGTGAACCTGATTTACACTGTGATATATTCATTTGTAAATGAGAAACATTAGGGAAATATGCCTCTTAAAGAGGAATTCAGAGAAGAATTTTTTTCTTACAATTTCTGTTGGGGTCTCCTATTTTATATATTTTGAAGCTTCACTTATTTTTCCACCTGGAATTATCTTATGCAACCAAGGCAATTTAAGCCAGATGAAATATATTTGCCAAGGAATTTAAATAAATTCACCCCTTTGTTTTCATTGGAGGCCAAGACACAAGGCTATTTGAATCAGAGGTACAGATGTAGCTAAGTTTAAAAAAGAAAGTTATTACCTGGCTGAAACAATAAGGTCAAACTTTGTATCAGACAATCCTTTGCAAATGGCATTGGCTGTATTCGCAGAAAGGGAAAATCCAGATGACTTCTTGGGTAGTAGGATGTTATATCTCAGAGTCGTCTTGAATAAATATAGAATATGTTGCTTATTAACTAAAAGATTACTTTACATTTATTACCACTCTATTAAAGTTTCAAATTAAAAGTCAATTTTTACCTCTATGCTTCCTATACCATTTGTACTTCCTTTCTATACATTTATGGAGCTCGTAGTGCTTGTTTTAGAGAGGACAAAAATGAGGTGCAGGGAGATAAATAACTTGTCAAAACTTATAGAATTCATGGATAACAGCTAGAACATAGACTGTCTTTTCATAAATAATTGAAATGATCTGATATCAGCCTCAAGAAACTCATTTATTTTTTTTAAGTACTGGGGACTGAACCCAAGGGCTTCACACTGAGCTACATGCTTGGTCCCTTTGAAAATTAATTAATTAATTAATTAACTAACCAACTTATTTCAGTACTGGGGATTGAATACAGGGTCTCCACACTGAGCTACATCCCCAGCCAGTTTTTATTTTGAAGCAAGGTCTCACTAAGTCATTATATTGCCCAGTCCGAGCTCAAACACTGCCACCCTCCTGCCTCAGCCTCTTAGAGTGCTGGCATTACACTGAGCTGATAAAATTATCATCTTGTCAGAATTACAGGAATGAAGGCAAATGAATACCAGTAGGATGGTGAATGAACTAAGAGGGGAATTGTAGCATCTAAGTCTATAGTGATATGACTAGGAAATAGCCTTGGTTAACAACCTAATTTGACCTAATAACTGTACTTCTAGAAATATATTCTTAAGATACACCTGTCCAAGTATTAAGAAAAATGTGCGTAGTGTTCAGTATATCTCTGTCTGTAACCAGGAAAGAAGGGCAGGGATTCCAGTGTGTATCAGCAGGCTACTTACTAAATACATTCTGCTATTTTTATATAGTGTGGTGATACCTACGAAACAAAAGCAGAAGTTCTTAAAGAATTAGAAGAATTTCCATTTGGCAGTCCTTAAATTAAAGATCGATTCAGGCGAATGTCATCAGTGCATGTGAAGAATTGTAGGTGAAAATTCACCAATTTTCACACTGAGCATTTAATATTTAAACGTATGTAGCATGCAACGTCTGCATGATTCCAATGTAACATTTTAAGCTCTTTCGGGAGCAAAAGGGAATAAAAAAAAATCCCTCTTTGTGAAGAAATATGCTGGTCACTACCTTAATACAAGATCAAATGTAGTGTCACTAGGGGCTGAGGGGTAACTGAGTGGTAGATCACTTGCCTAGCAAATGTGAGGCCCTGGATTTGGACCTAAGCATCTACAAAGAAATAAAAAACAAAACTAAAACAAAGCAAAAGAAAAAAAAGTAATAACATTGGTGGTGATATGCTCCTGGATACGAGAGAATGTAGATCTAACTTTCAGTTTACAGAAGCCACATAAAGGCAACACATTTTATGACACCAAAAAGAAAACTGAAAAATCCAGATATTCTACAAGACAATGGGCCTGATGTCTTAAAAATTAAAAAAATTAATGTCACGAGAAAAACACAAAACTTGTTAGATATATACAATCAAAGGAGATTTAAGAAGCACAATAGACAATTGCAAAGCAAAGTTTTGAATTAATCTCGGTTTGGGAAAGTAAAAGATAAAGTACTTTGGGAATAATTAATTACATTATATTACAAACCACCGTCAGTTTGTGTTAGCTATGACAATGGCATTGTACTTACAAGATGAAGTGCTTTGGAGATGCACTAGGCCTTCCTTACGATGACTCTAATTTACTTTAAAATTCACCCAAAAGGAAAGAAAAGGCCCAGACTTACCTGCACATATACACAGCCACTGCCGCTCACTTTCACCGTGAGCTGTCTTGAAGGCGTTGGCACTAAAATTTGCAGTGGTACCAAGCGGTTCTCATCATTCACCTGGAAGGACCTATTGAACCCTCTGTCAGAGAAAATCTGCACTGAATTTCGTCTGTTTTTAGAAAACGTGAGTGTTTGGAATAGCGTCAGAGCTTGGAGAGCCACAACGGTGTCCTAAAACAGCAATGACCGAAACGGTATTAGAGTGAATCCTACAGCTTTGAAATCACAGTGAAATATAAATGTCACCCATTCAAAAATAATTTGAAATGTTATCACTTTTTGGGTGCATTTTTTTATTATTTTGTGAACTATACTTTGTATACTTTATCAAAAATACATAAGGCCCATGGCAAAATTTCTGTTCGACTCTTTAATTCGGATAAAAACATTATCAAAGAGAATAACAATGTGAGAAAAGATGAGGAAATTTTAAAAATGTCTACTGAGTAAGGCCTTGCTCTCCCAGATAATTAAAAATTTGAGGCCAGACAGCCTGTGGGAAAAAATAAAAGGCTTAAAAAGACAAGAAAATAAATTTAATTGAATTTTCCAGTAAGAGCAGCATTTTAAATAATTGGCTAAATAAATTGTCTATATGGCACTGAAATAACTGGTTGTCCATTTAAAAATATCACACTGGTTTCTGCTTAAAATAAATCTACATCGGCATATACCTTATATTGATTAGTAATCAAAATATAATTAATCTATAAAATACAGAAAATACAGATATGTATTGAATATTTTTATCTAAAAGCTAGTCTTAGCATGGTATTAAAGTGAAAACCTTGAACAGCATTATTAAATTAAGTGAAAATGAAAAGAAAATAACCCATGCAATTAAAGTATCACATAGATTGCAAGGAAGATGAGAACGTGGCCAGGGTGTTACGTGCATTAACATGGCTAAAATCTTTATCTGCAAGTCTTATAAATAATCAAGAAAAAGACAAACACTCTTACTAGAAATTGCATAAATGACGTATGACCTGGTGATTCAACACAATGAAATGAAAAGGATTTAAAAAAAGGAAAATATTGGGCGGGGGATTTAGCTCAGTGGCACCATGCCTGCCTTGCAAGTGCAAAGTCCTGAGTTCAATTCCTGGTACCAAAACAAAAAACAAACAAACACACACACACACACACACACACACACACACACACACACACAAAAAGAAAGAAAAACATAATTCCATGTAAATAGAAACCATGGAGATTATTACTACCCAGAATGAGTGATTTTATTGTATCAGATCAAAAGAGATTATGTAAATGATTTTGAAGTTATACAGTAAAAGTTATTCTCACATTGATTATAATAATTCATTGATGTCATTTTTTCTGATAAAATCATCGCCTTTAATTTTGACTAGAAAGTTTAGCAGGTAGGTGTTTAAATTTCCATTTTAAAAATGGAATAGAAATAATCTTTGGAATAACTACTTGAAGACCGTTATTGGTGAAATACCACATCTTCATTAAACTTAAAATATGGCAAATTAAGAAACAACAGCAAATTTAATAGTGGCAATAACAAATTCATTTGGTTGGATAAATAAAATATGTACATTCAAAGGCCAACACCGTCAGTGCAAGCAGGTCCTCCATTTTGGCACACAGAGATTAAAAAATATGAATGAATTACCTTCGTGGAAGAAAAACCGCCACGGGAATTCTGCTGCTTTGCCACCCACTGTACAATCTGTGAAGCATAGGATAGCTCTTCTGAAGTCAGCCCTGGCTTCGAAAGGAAAGCCAGCAGAATATAACTGGTCACTTCTATGCTCGCAGAGGACGCCCAGGTGTTGTAGGAAGAGGATGGCCCCTTCAGTTCCCAGTACACTGAGCCGCCTGGGGGAAAAGCGGACGGACGTCAGCAGTGCCTCTGCCAAAGCAGGAGGCTCACGTGTGTGGACAAGCAGGTGAAACTTGAGGCAGTGCAAACCTGGTGACCTGAGACACCGAGGGGTGGCAATGGTGCCGCCAGTAGCAGTGCTAATCGTTCCACAAGTATGTGAGGGGCACTCACCTACTTTCTTGGCCTTTTTGCTCAGTTCATTGAAGAAGAATTCCCTTTTGTCCTTATTGTCTACTAAACTGAAAGTACGGGTCAAGAGAGCCTGGTCATAGGTGCTCAAAGCGCTCTTCTGAGACGCAGCCTCTATGCACTGAAGGCCCTTTTGAACTGCCACAAACTGCAAAAGAAAGAAAAGTCACTTGTGTACACCAGTGCACGTGTGAAAACATCGGTGGTGGTGTGTTCATCACTAGAAAAAAAAAATCAGGAACGAATCCCATCCGTGCTGAAATATTCAAAGTGCAAATGAACACGTTTAATTTCTGCAGTTCCACATACTTTGATGGACAGAACCATGCACAGTTCCTGCGTGGTTTGATTTGATGACTGAAAAGGGTATTGTTTCAGCATGATTTGGTGGTAGCTCTAAATATAAAGTTGTGGCCCCTGGTATTACATCGACAGTGAACATATTTTGGATTTCTAAGAGGCAAGTTACTGGTATCATGCTGGATCACTTACTGAGACTGGGTGACCGGCTTCCAGCAGGGCATTGACAACATAGGCAGTGAGAGAGATGTCACTGTCGTCTTCCCCCTGGATAAAGCACAGGAGTAATATGTGAGAGTCAATGCAAAGTATTGAGAAGATGCAGACTAGTTGTTTTCTTTTGACATTTGGGGGTGGGCACCAGGGGTCAAACACAAGGGTACCCTCCCATTCAGCTACATCCTTGGTCCTTTTTATTTTTGAGACAGCACCTACCAAGTTGTTCAGGATGGACTTGAATTTGTGAAGCTCTAGCCTCAGCCCCTAGAGAAGCTGGGACTAAAAGTGTGCATCCCTGAACTTGACTTTTTGAACTTGAAACATTTTTTGGGGGGATGAAGTTGTTCATATCCCCAAAAGATACTAGTTATAAAATGGAAAACAGTGAATGAAATTGCGAGGAATTTACAGAAGTAGAAACATTACTTTATAAAAATGACTTACGGGCTGAAGAAGACATTTAGGATCATAGGAGGCACAGAATGGCTGCAGAGTACCTTCCCTCGACCTTGTCCTTGCTCTAGACATAGTGTGAACAGTGTCGTGGAAAATGCATGTGTAATATTCTCATAAAAGAATACAGCATGAAATAGAATGGTAGATCCACCAATGGAACAAATAGAACAGAAGGAAATCCTGGTAAGTACAGAAGGCAACATAACAAAGTCCTCAAGATCAGTGATTAGCAGAGGCATTATAAGCAGTGAACTACTTAGGAGATGGAAACCACACGAGAATAAAACAGATTCTAGCAGGCCAGTAATATTAGTTATGAAGAAAATCATCAAAGGATCTTGACGAACAACATGGAAGCTGACAGGCAGAATTCCTTCAGTACCTTCAAGGCGTTGTTGAAGACATCGCCAAGATTTGGGAAGCAACCGTCTGGCCTCTGAACACCTAGGAGCCAGATGAGGGTCTGCGATTGTACTTTGTCATCAATATAAATGTAGCCCCTGGCTTGTGCAAATGACTTGTACACAAATGCTGTCAGCCTGAAAAGAACCACACACAAGCATGTTTATGACCAGCACTGGGAGGCAAATTCTCATTAAAAGGAGTAGTTTCCTACAATTGCAGTTTTGAGTTTCACATCCTGAAAATTCCTTCCCAAAGCTCTGGCCTAACATCTGACAGCAACTCGCCATCCCTTTTAAACCTCAAGCACTGGTTTGCACGTCTCCTTCTCCTCATTCACCGTTTGTGTCCAGGCAAAGGGCTGGCTGCCTCCTCTGAAATGTTCTCTGATTCTCTTATGTGTGCCTCAAACAAGAGTACAATTTCCCCATTTTTCCCGCTTAGCACCTAAAATTTGGAAAGGTTCTAGAAATCGCAAAATGTTTTAACAACAAAAAATTAATAGCTGGGCCAGGGATGTAGCTCAGCATCACTGCACCTGCGTGGCAAGCATGAGGTCCTGAGTTCTATTTTCTGTACCAAAGGGGAAAAAATTAACAGCCACGATGAAGTAGATGTGATAGTGCATTTTCACAGGTGATAACTTGGAGTCCGGAGCTGGAGTGGCTCATCCACACACAAGTGAGGTGCATGCTTACAGGTGTACTCCCCACCCCTGCAGAGAGGCCTTCCTTGCAGGTAAGTTGCCAACTCAGGTTCCTGAGTGTGTAATACTCCTTGCCTGTATCCAAACTGTCATGATGCAGTTTCTGAAAACTCTCATGACGTTTTACAAGCTCCCACAGCATTATGTGCATACTTTTATTGCTGTTTGTGTTACATTGTGTTCCGATGTACTTTCTTGCCTCTCACTACTACAAGATAAACTTCCTGAGGTCGAGGATCATTTATCATTTCCAGGTAAAATAAAATAATGAGTAAGAGATCCAATTCTGGTGCAGACAGTACAGTTCTGTCAGAGTTAGCATAGAGTTTGGGAAACTCTTTAATATCTCTCTTTGCTACATGCTGGACTGTTGTCTGTGAAAGTCCCAACCTCTGGGGGCCAGAAGGTGACTGCTTTTGGAGATAGGGCCTTTAAATGGTAATGAGGTTAAAATGAGACCATCTTTTTTTTTTTTTTTTTTT